AATATTATCAAAAAAATTTTTATTTAAATATTTTAAATTTTAAAAAAAGTAAATCATAAGCAAATTTATAGCAATTTCCCAGGCAAATTTGCCTAGAATTGCCTACAGTTTAAGAGATACTTTTTGCATTAATTTAATCAAGTGAACTTGATATTATTATGTTCCACTTACTCCATCAATGCTTCTTTTGTAGATACAAAACTTCACTCATAACTGAAATATAACATAGTATTCTTTACTATTACCAATTTATTAACCATGAATATAATAACTACATTGTAGATCTGCAGCTTGTGCATTTACATCAATCATTAATTGCTTTCACAGTAATAAAAATATAAAGCAAATTAGAATTATTTAGGATAATTTGGGAATTTAGAACATCCAAAAATAAATCTTTTTATTTTAGAATAATCCGAAAACAAACTTTATTCCCAACTAACTTTAACCAAACATTAAAAAAAAAATTAAGATCTTTCCATATAGGCAAAGATTTTTAATGTAATGTTGTATTTATTAAAATTCGAATCACCTATATGTGAGCTGTTTTTAGGTTACTTTACCTATAAGCAGCATATAAAAACTAATAAGTAACTGATAAATAACTCATAAGCAATTTTTAAGTAATTTTACAATTACTGGCAAATAATCACTTTTAACCTTATCTTAGTAATCACAGAAGATTAATTTTAATTTGTGAAAAGTAGTTTAACTAGTAAGTAGGTTCATTATCTTGATGAAAAAAAGGTTGAAACAACCTTTTTTGTCTCTGATTGGCTAAAATTTATTATCCACATTTTGTGATATAAATCTTTATCAAAATTACAGTAAAAATTGCTTCAATTAATTGTAGTATATTATGTATAATCTCAGTAGCTAGCTAATCACATTAATAGCACCATTAGTCTCTAAGTTTAGTGATTATTTATTTGTTTAATTGATCTAAGTACTTAATATGGGCTGCTTAACTCTTATTTAGCACATTAGTCTGTATAATTATCATCTGCCAAGAATATTTCTAATTATGCAGATTAGTATGACCAGATCTGTATAGTAGAGTGTAAAATACTCTTTATTTAATATCTATTCAGCATTATGTATTATTAGGGTTAGCATTAAAAAATTATAGTAGATTGGTATGATATGTTTTTTAAAGAGAGATATATATCACTTCACTGACACTCCTTTCATAAAAACAACATTTCACTGAAATCGCCTTACTGACATGTTTATCTCATTGACACTAAATTCACAGACAATTATTTCGCTGACAAACTTAATTTGCCAAAAAGTTTATTTCATTGACACTAAATTCACTGACAATTAATTTGTTGACAAAATTAATTCACTGAAAAATTTATTTTGTTAACAGTACAACTCACCAACAATTACTTCACCGAAAAGCTTACAGCTGTTTCATAAATTCTAGAACACCTAAAAAAATTTGGCAATAATAATTTTGGCCAAATTCGATAAGTTATTGATTTCGGTATGATCAGTATAATAAAATAATCAACAAAAGCTATTTTTGCATCATAATGATTATTTTATGATGGCATAACAATAATATCAATGATTTTAAATTTTCGTTTAAATGCTTGTCTAACATGTTTGGTGTACTTAGTTTGTATGAAATTTTATAGAAAAAACTGTTAATATCAATCAATAAACCTTAACAAGAAATGTAAAAAGGAATCGAATATAAATTAGACTTTATAACAAATTTATCACTCGAACAGGTGCAGCTATTAAAAAAGTTAAATATAATTATGAATTTGTTAACTGGGTTAAAAATGAATCTTAGGTTAGTGACCAAGGTATTATTTATATCTGTTGAGAATGCATAAAGAATTATGATAAATGAAATTAAAATAAAAATTTTATGCTTATATTTATTTATTTATTTTTAGTCTTCGACAAGAAATAAAAAATAATTAGAAATAAATAAATGCTTTTGTTTGAATGAAAATAGATCTTTCCAAAGAATAGAAATCAAAATTTAGTTTAGTTTTTTAAAACTAAATTTTCATCTTCAACAGGAAACAAAAAATAATTAAAAATGAATAAATGCCTTCATTTGAATAAAAATGGATCTTGCAAAAAATAGGATCGAAATCTAGTTTATCAACAAAAAACAAAAAATAATTAGAAATAAATAATGTCTTCGTTTGAATGAAAATATATCTTGCTAAAGAATAGGAATTGAAGTTTTATACAATTTTTTAAAAACTAATTTCATCAAAAAAATAACTAGAAATAAATAAAAGCTTCATCTAAATGAAAATAGATCTTATCAAAGAATAGGAATTAAAATTTTTTAAAAACAAAATTTAGTCAAAAAATAATTAGAAATAAATAAAGGCTTTGTTTAAATGAAAGTAGAACCTGCCAAAGAATAGAAATTGAAATTTTATATAATTTTTTAAAAACAAAATTTCATTTAATATTAATTAGAAATGAATAAATGCTTCGTCAAAGAATAGAAATTGAAATTTTACACAATTTTTTAAAAACAAATTTTCATCAAAAAATAATTAAATAAATAAAGGCTTCGTTTGAGCGAAAATAGATTTTGCCAAAGAAATTTTATACTATTTTTTTAAAAATGAAATTAATAAGTTGGCAAGTATGCATGTTGCTGTATTGTAATATATATTAGTCATCTGATCTTATTAATTACATATCTGTTATTGAATCTCATTATTCCTAACTTATCAAATTCAGCCAAAATTATCATTTTTAGGTGTTTTAGAATTTATAAAAACAGCTGTAAGCTTTTCAGTGAAATAATTGTCAGTGAGTTGTACTGTTGGTGAAATAAACTTTTCGGTGAATTAATTTTGTCAACAAATTAATTGTCAGTAAATTTAGCATCGACGAAATAAACTTTTCAGCAAATTAAGTTTGTTAGTGAAATAATTGTTAGTGAATTTAGTGTTGATGAAATAAACATGTAGATGAGGTAATTTCAGTGAAGTGATGTGTCTATGAAAGGAGCATTGGTGAATAGAGCTGAACCATTTAAAGAGGTATTTCATATTCTATACCATATACATCTAAAAATCATATGAAATTTCTTGTTTGTTTAAATTAAAGTATCTCATATCAATATAGTTATGCTATATTTAGTTGTATATCTGGTATTTATTTTATCTGAATTCAAAACAATATATAACTATTCTGTATTGGGCTTGTCCAACATTTTCTAAATTAAGTTTATATTCATCTGTTCTGGGTTTAGCGCAACAATGTTGTGCAGCTAATATGTACAATCATACATGAGTTATATTGCCTTTTTTTTCCAAAGTATTTTTGGTGATATAACTAAGGTGGTAATATAACTCAATATATAAACTATATAAAAAAAGAAAATTTATTCTGCTAAAAAATGAAAATATAACTCAGATTGGGATATAACCCAGTGGGAATATAACTTATACTATATATTAAGAATATATACCTTTATAACTTTGTTAGTAAATTAATAGATTAATGATTTTATTAATTTTATTAACATATAGCTTTGCATTTTTTTGGAGTAAATTATAAAACTTCTATATCTCATTATCATTCTTATATTCATGCCTTACAATATAAGATAAAAAAGTATAGTTTGAATCAAGAATTGATACAACAGAAAACATTTTTATCAAATTATATGAATTGCATTTTGATGAATTATGTCAGACTAAAGTTGAAGTCAGAAAAGTAAATGAAGTTTTAGCGCTTGTGGGTAGCAAATTGTCTGTTTGAACTTCTTGTAATACTTGTAATAAATTGGCTGAAGGAAAATTTTTACGTAATTTTATAAAGGTATAAGTTTGTTTCTGAATAGTTTCAATATAATAAGCCAATATAACACAGGCTAAAATCTTCTGAAAATTATTACTTGCAATTAAAAGGCAACTGAGAATTGAATTTATAGTAATCTCTTGAATAGTTAGTGCATTATGATGTTTTAAAAGCATTTGAAACTCTTTAACTTTTTTTGTAAAATTTTCTAAAGTTACAGATTTATATATCACACTAATGAATCTAAAGTTATTGTCAAGATTTGGACTATAAAGCTTCATAACGTAGTTTGCTTTTCATACATTAAATTGATTTTCTTCATATGATAATTTATGGTTGTCTTTTGATGAATCACCTTCCACTATAATTGTGTAATTGCTAGGATTATTTGAAACCCAGCTTTGAAGTTTTTGTGAATTGCAAAATACATATTTGTACTAAGGCTGTTCACTACCTATATAAATTTTGACCGAATCTGAAACCCAATATGTAGACTCAGAATTAGTTTGATGCAATTTCATAATGCTTTAATACTGCTAATCACTAAAGGAAGCATAGTTTTATCAAGGTTTTTTGGCAGGTGAATATAAAAAGTAACAAAAATCTCACAGTTAATAGTTAAATCCTCTTCATATGAATTGTGAAATTCATCATCATTATTGCCATCATCATTGCAACTCATGATAATTTATTTATGCGTTAGCTAAGTAAATAATTATATACTATACATATTTAAATTTTGTTAACAGAAGATACAAATTTTTTTGCTTGACATTTTACTAATGCTCAAATTCAGACACTATTCAAATGATTTAATTTATCATACGATGCTTTCTCTTAATTTTACTTAATAAACTTAATTTTTATGAATGCGTAAACTATTGAAAGTGTGTAAAAATATATTATATATAGTTAGGCTATTTAAATTAAAAATTTTTATTGGAAGTCTTTTTGATCAAGATTTTCCTAATGTTGCCTAAGCATCTAGAAAAATCAGGTTTTTTGCATATATTGATAATGTATTCTCACTTGATTTGTTCTATTATTTATTTTGAAATAAATATGCCACTTTATCTGAAATCAGATGTCAGATTATTAACATTACAAATTTGAACTCAAAATTTATACATACGTAAAAGATTAGGGTATCTAATACATATCTAATTACAAATATAATGCAGTTTATATAATAATAATTTATAATTAGTAACATAAATTGCTTAAAAAAACATTTTGCTATTTTATTTAAAAAAATCAAAAACAATCATTTTGCATAAAAATTGATCATTCCTTTATATTTCAACAATTTTTTAAAAAAGTTGTTGTTATTTTAAAATAGTAAACTAAAATGAACCCAACAAATATAATTTTATTTGTACACTAGTGATTATAAATAATGTAGCAAAAAAAAAAATTCATTAGATCAACTTTTCTTGTGCAATTTTGTATGTATCCTTTTGTTTTTTTGTTTTTTTTATTTGTAAATGGTGTCACTGTTTACTTGTAGAATTTTATTAAACATCTATACTGTCAATACAAAAATAATCACATATGTGTTACAAAACACGTGATACATTATTTTTGCTTGTTTTTACTGAAGATCAAATAGCTTATGTGTACTATGTGACACATTTTATAAATAGATTTTCTTTGTCTAATTTTGCATCTTGTGCAATGTTAGAATTAATTGATAATTAAATAAGCAAAAAAAAGAACTATACCGCTCTTGCTTAAAGAGCACAAATCTTGCTTTTGCTACAAAAAAGATACATGATGAGGGCTATAGGTCAGACTTACTATATTGCCTCATTTACTGTCTCCAATTTTGGTAAAAGCTCTATTTTACAAAATTGGAATTGATATTGTTCGAAAATTACCTATGACTTCAAAAGTAATAAATACATAGAAGTTGCTACAGACTACATAACCAAATGGCTTGAAGCAAAAGCAATAAAAAATGTCAATGCTCAAAAGGTAGCTAATTTTATATATAAAGATATTGTATGTTACCATAGATGTTCACAATATCTGAGAAATGCATTTCTGTAATAATCTAGTAGACGAATTCTTAAAGAAATTTTAATATTAATCACCATTATTTAGCATCTATTATCTACAAAAAAATAGATTAGTGTAATATAGGGATGGGATCAGCTTGAGCTAGTTTAACTTGGCTTAAAAGCTGAGCTGAGCCATCTCGAGCTAGCTCGAAGCCAATCATGTGACTTGGCTTTTAAGCTAATTGTGTATATGCGTAACTTTACTTAAAATTGACAAGTTATATAAATCTGCTATAAAAGAAGCTTCTTAACTGATTTTAAATTATAGATAATCTTGTTATCCAATCTAGTATAGCTCATAAAAAAATGTAGCTAATGTCATAAAGCTGCTCGGTACGTAAGTATTGAGGTAGCTTTTGTCTAACACATACAGATCATGTGATTTTTATCTTATAGACATGTACTAAATAATGATTTTTTTATTTAAAAGCAATTTGGTAAGGCTTTTCTACTAAATTTACATCTTATAATTATAATAAAGCAAGCTTGTTCTCCTGGTCTTTCCGGTTATAATGATAATAGGATTATTAAAATCTGATTAGTAAAACTGGAGATATGATCTTTCAGAATTTGGACAACGTTTTAAAGATTATAAAAATGTCACATAAACTTCATGAGGCTATATCTCCAGCTCTACTGAGTTTATTTTAATAATCTCACTGCCATTAAAACCAGAAAACCAGATTAATAAGGTTTCTTAAAATGACAAAGGAAGATTAACCTATTATAAAATCTTAGTCAAATCACTTTTTAATTTTTAAAAAAGAAAAAAATAAGTAAAAGGTGACTCAGAAGACTTTTGAACTAAGTTAATTTTAAGTAAACTTGTTCTCCTGGTCTTTTTAATAATAGTGGTGTGAGATTATTAAAATTGACTCAGTGGAGCTGGAGATATAGCCTCATTAAGTTTATACAATATTTTATATAATCTTTAGAATATTGTTCAAATTTTGAAAGACTATAACTCTGGTTCTACTGATAAGATTTTAATAATCTTATTATCATTATAATAATCTTATAGGAAATTTACAAATAAGGGCCCAGAAAGTGAAAATAATTACAAATACAGGCCCAATTAAAAATAATTACATAAAAGGGCCTAATTTTCAAAAGTATTACATATAAGAGCCCGAAATAACTGTGATACTATTCACGCCTGTGGCTTGATTGTTATTAATATAAAAAACATAAGCAATCGATAGTAAATTAATATGCGAAAAGAAAATTTATTTTAAATTTAATAACATTAATTATAACTTTTTAGGGGCAAAATATTCACATACTCATGTATGTATACTATATATGTAAAGTCTTGAGTGCCAGTATCACTTAGAATGCAAAAGAAAGGTTTTATTTTTTTATTATTTTTATATACTGAGGCTTATAAGAGCTTGTTCACTTTTATCTGCTTTGCTATCCTTGTAATATGAATTTATTTTAACTAATTAATTATTATTTTAGACATTTTTTTAAAATTTTCCCACCGTTTTTACACATGATTAGATTGTTTCTTGAGTTCCTAAGAGCTCGGGTGAGTAAACTTCACTTCTATCCTCAGGGATGTTAAGAGAACTGCATGAGGCATCTATTTATGAGACAGTGACCCAGACCTATAACGCAGGGTTAGCGATTGATAAGTATGATATATTTGTGACAAATAGTACTTGGTTGTTTAAATCACTAATTATGAACAATTTGTAATGATTACATATTGGGTGTGGAAATTTTAATTAAATCGAGTTATTTAATATATATATATATATACTACATTTACTATATTTACTTGATATAGATATCCTATAATCCAGTATAAGTTATTAGCTAAGCTGCTAATCTATTAATATTATATGGCTTAGTCTAGCTGTAAAAATTTAATCAACTTTGATGGCATAGGTATAAACCGTGAACTAGTTCACGATTGACTTTGATAGTATCAATATTGACCATGAACTAGTCCATGATTGACTTTGATGGCATCAATATTGACCGTGAACTAGTTCACAGTTTACAACTATGCCATCAAAGTCAATCGTGAACTAGTTCATGGTTTACATCTATGCTATCAAAGTCAATTGTGAACTAGTTCACAGTCAATATTGATGCCATCAAAGTCAATCATGAACTAGTTTACAGTTTACACCTATGCCATCAAAGTCAATTGTGAACTAGTTCACGGTTTACACCTATTCCATCTAAGTCAATTGTAAACTAGTTCACGATTTATACCTATGCCATCAAAGTTAATAATGAACTAGTTCACGATCAATATTGATACCATCAAAGTTGATCGTGAACTAGTTTACAATCAATATTGATGCTATCAAAGTTGATCATAAACTAGTTTATGGTCAATATTTATGCTATCAAAGTCAATTGTGAACTAGTTCATGGTCAATATTGATGCTATCAAAGTTGATCATAGTAGTTCATGATCGACTTTGATAGCATAGGTGTAAACTGTGAACTAGTTCATGATTAACTTTGATGGTATCAATATTAACTATAAACTAGTTCATGATCGACTTTGATAGCATTAATATTGATTATGAACTAGTTCACAATTGACTTTGATAGCATTAATATTGACCGTGAACTAGTTCACGATTGACTTTGATGGCATAGGTGTAACCCATGAACTAGTTTATTACTCTAATCCCTAAATTTAGTAAAATCTATATCCTACTGATGGTAGTTATCACAAATCCCATAAATCATAAACTAGTTCACAATCGATTTGAGTTTGATCCGTCTCTAATACCTAGTAATCTTGTAATTGGATCTGAATGAATTTGGTACTATTCGAATCATCTCAATAAGATAATTCAAATGGTACCAAATTCATCAAAATCTAATTCAAAGATCGCAAGATATCAAAAATGAATCAAATTCTAAATTTAATTATTTAAATTACCAAAGTCAATTATGAACTAGTTCACAATTAACATTAAAGTCCCAAAGTTGATACACGATTATGAGCTAGTTTACAATTGGGCAACAATGAAATCATTCAAATCTGGCTACTAGAAATTTAAGGTAAAAAAAACCTGTATAGCATACAAAATCTATATTAACAAGCAATATTCTAAATATATTTGATCATTTGATCAAGCCTAATTTAATAAAATCAGTTAATAATCGTAAAACATTTCTATCATACTTGCATTTACTGTATTGAAAACAGGGTTGGTAGTGCATCTATAGATGCTGATGAAACCATAAGTTTCATCTTAGTTTGTCACTGATGAAATGATGAAACTATCATATTTCGTTAGTTTACGTGAGTTTTGTCAAGCATCATTAGTAGCATCTTTTTAACAAAGATATAAGAACTAATTTTTGGACAAAATTTATTTAGTTTTAAGCTTGAACCCTTTAAAAAAAATTATTTGCACTCCTATCTATAATAACAATGCATCTAACCAAGTTTTCCATTAGTGCAACCCTTTCTGTACAATTTAGATAACACAATAGGGGTTATATTAGTAAGATATCAGCTAATTCTTTCTTTAAAATTTGTATTAAAATTTATTCAAGTTTTATAACACATGAAAGTTGTATAATTGTGTATATAAAATTTATATTTAGATATTATGGCAATACATATTATCAGTGTTTGCAATGGAGTGAATTTTTTGACATATGTACATATATATATATTAAATTTTATTTGAACAAGTTTGAACATAGAATTTAATATATCTGCGGCTGAATGAAATTTTTATTAAACATAGTCCAAATGCAAATACTGCACATTATATTAGACCTTTGACAAGTTGTTAAAAATTATAAATTATAGACATAATAAAAGTAAAAGTATTTTGAAAAATGATTTGAGTAAAAATATGTTAAAAAGCTTTTTTAATTAGTGAACTCACTAACCTGTAGGATTGTTAAGCATTTGGTTCAAATTAAGACTTTGACTCAATCATATAATGAGAGAAGCATAATTGATTTAATGCATATTTTAGTATAAATTGAAAACCGATCTTGCTATATCTATTCAAATATCAGGTGGTTATTGAAGTACAAACCAACTTAAAAACTGACATCCTTACAAACCTGGTACATATGTACGTACGTTGAGAAGGGTCTAATTAAACCAGAATTGGATAAATTCAACTAATACGGGTCTTAGACTACACTAACTAATCTAAATACACACTAAACTAACTAAATTACTAACAAACTATACTACTCCAAATAATCGATAAGGTGGTAGGCTTCATAAAGAGGCGTGGAAAAACTTGGTCTGAGTTCTTGGAGCTTAGACCTTAAGGTGATATATTCGGAAAGTATATAAAGTCATCTTATTACTTTGGTCTATAAACTATCTTAATGTCTTTCAATTATTCCAATACTAATTCTCTAATTCTTCAATTCTGTATTACTAATTTCGGTCACGTGTAATGTAATCACGATTATGTTGTCGATCAGTACTTTAATATTCGGCTTAGATCGATGATGATTATCAATTTCTACATCACGGGTAGAATTAATGACGGAGATCGGAATTTCAATTAATTAATATGTCACGAGTTTAGTACGTCACAGGAATTTTGGATGATCAAACTAATTAATCTGTAATAATAAGGTCATGGGCTAGTACTTCTATTGTTAGCTGATTTTCGGTAACAATAGGTCTTTAACTAATTCAGGTATTTTCTCTATATAAAAGGTGGATAATTAGTATTACTCTTTTACTAATTCTATCTACTACTGTTTAGAGTGAAGACAAGTTTTTAATAGTATCGGGGCTTAGGGTGTAATAAACTGGTTTTTAATTTGGGTAAGAACTTTTTTAAACTGTTGGACGAAGGTAATAATTTTCAATAAGTCACTTCTTGACTTCAATTATTTCAAAGGTTTCGATAACTTTAACTCAATATGAGTTCTTTACTTTCTTGCTTTCCTTAAAAGCAGATTTTTCTGACTCAAAGCTGACTGAGTTTATTGTCGATTGCGAAAATTCACTTAAATACTTTTTTACATTACTGCATCTTGGATGGTCTGACGCACTTCTTTACGTTAGATGACATAAAAATGTACCATGGGTAAGGTAAAGTACCAAAGTTACAATCAAGAAGACGTAATGCACTAATTCTATAGTACTAAATGAGCTAATAGTACTAAGATGCCGAAATGGCCTAATTAAGAAGGACGCTTAACCTTTGGGTCAAGTTTTGAATGATATAGGTCCTTCCATATAGGGAAGAGACCCGGGTAAGAATAATAAATAAAATAAAATAAATAAAAAAATAATAATATAATATTAAATAAGGTAAAAAAAAAAATAAAATGGGGCAGATACTAAAAAATAATAATTATATAGGTGAGCTACACCTCTCACAACGTACATAGTATGTGTATATACATGCCACAAACTTATAATATCACTTAGTTACATATGTCTTATATAAAAAACTGGTTTATAAAATAGGGTCAGCATAGGTGCAGTAAGTCAAGTGATATCGGCTTGAGCCGGCTTGTTGGCTCAGCTCAAAAGCCGTGGCTGAGCTAGCTTACTAAAAGCTGATCTCATCCCTATATTACAAAAATAATCGAATATCTAATTTAAAGTTTAAATTAAATGAAAAAATTTTACAGTTGGATAATCAAGCTACACAAATCATATTTTTAAGAAGTAAATTTTTGAAATTTGGTAATTATTCTGATGTAGACTACTGGTTAGTATATCACTACTCTGAAAGCATAATAACCCAGGTTTGAAACTAGTGAAATGAGCTATCCTTTCTAGAGTACAGATCTCAAATAGAATACATGATAGCTATAAATATCAGAATAAAAATATTTTTATTATTTTATTTATTATTTTATTATCATAATTTACTTATACAAAATTTTAATTTTAAGCTAGTTATTTATGCATAGTATGCATAAAATAGGTCTGGGCAAATGTCACAAGCTAAAAGGTAGATCAATAAAATCAGTATTAGGGTTCTTCAAAATCGAATCGAATTGAATATTAGGCATATTTGAATTTGATCAAATCAAATAAGCACTTGATTTGATCAAATCAAATCATAATCTTTATTAAATATTTTCAAATCAAATCAAATATTTTGTCAATTTGAATTTGATTTGATTTGAAATTTCTGTATTTGAATTTGATTTGAGATCAAATATTTGATCAAATCAAATCAAATCAAATCGAATTGTGGAACCCTAATTGGCATAGTAAACCTGTGATCGAAGAGGAATTTAAGAAATATTGGTTTATTGGTTGAGGCTTATTGGCCAAATAAAACTAGTAAACAGGTTAATAATTTAATTCAAGGTTTAGATCATTAATAACTCCTTGGCCTTATAACCAATATGAAATCCAAAGAACCTGAATGCGCAAGAAGAGAAGAGCAAAGAACAAGAATTTTAGAAAATATTATTATTATTAAAATATGAATATTGTAGAAGCAAAGCCTTTATTATTATAATCAAGTTGTACTTATCATTGTAAGCCCCTTAAGTATAGTGATTCTTCCTTGATTATTTCGTGATGAAAGATCCGATTTATCCCAAAGCCTCTTGAATTCGTTAGTTTAGACAAAGTTATAAAACCCTATAATTTCTCTCATGTAAAATCTTATCCTACGGGATTCCAACATTCTCTTCCTAATACATTGAATAAATCACCTTGATAAATCTTTTAAAGTCAATTTATTGTCAAATCGCCATCGTCACGCCTCTGGCGAGTTACCTTATCACCTAAAATTATATATTTTCGTATAAACCTTATTAAAAGGATACAATTCACCCCGTAACATTACATATTTTATTTATACCCTCAAATTTTATACTCTAATAATGACGTTAATACTAATAATATAGTTTAACTCTATTTTTCTGCAAAGTTACTTTAGCTTTGATCATCGCTTTTACCGTCACACATGTGACATCATGTCTAAATTATTTCCACTACGACCGCGGTCTCTACTTCATCCGCGACCTCCACGACTTCATAACTTACATGATTTCCACCACGTGCACTTAAACTAGAACTCATCCTTGACAAAGTCTCATTTGTAGGCTATTTAAGAAATAGCGGGAACGATCTTTCTGAAGTAATCAAATTTTCAATAGTAATTTGGCTCCACCCGCACATAAAGTTGAATATATCTGTACTACCTTTATCGAATTGCCGGTTTAAATGAATAATTATACATGCATATTTAATTGATTTATTGAATATTTGTGACTTTTCCATGAATTCGTTCTCATACTGTTCAATTATAAACTTTGCTAATCTGATACATCCTGCTTTTACGGTTAAGGGATCACACTGCAAAATATATAAATCGTTATCTGATCTATAAAAGCATCCAATTTGACTTCGGAGCTCAGCCTCAGATTTGAAAGTCGAAAGTTTGTCTATTTGACAATTTATAATGCCTTGTAGACACGATTTAATATCAGTGTTGATATTAGAAAAGGTATTTATGATTACCAAATGGTTTTCTGAATTATTATTTAGTGAAAATTGATAAAACTCTCGAATGCTATTATGTCGTTTATCTTGGAAGTAAAAGTTCTGCCAATACCTCACTTCTTGTTCATCACTTATTTTTAAATATGATTTATCAGCTCTTACGATACTATCTGAAGTAGCAATTGAAATCAAGGCTTCTTTGCAGGCTTGTATAATCGCACCATCACCAAGATCAGGATTTTTTTCACATTGGTCAATAACCAAACTTTGTAAACTTTCTTCTGAAGAGAAACCAATAAACTTATCTGTTCCATTTTTAGTATCTCCTTCACTTTCAACAATAGTTGAAATTTGCCTGGTCCACTCTTTTAGACGTTTAAAGAGTCCTTTTTCGTAACTTGAAAGTGTTTCATTTAACGTAAGCCTTTGCTTTTCGAAGCGATTTAGGAGAGGTGGATCAGCTGATGGTAATTTTGCTTCATCCAGCACCAAAATACATCTAAAATTTATTATATACCGTATATTAATAAAATTTAAAATAAATATTCTCATAAAATTAAAGTAACATCAGATAGCAAGAATACCTAAAGTTCGGATGCACTATAGCATAAAAAAATCGGGTTCTCGTTAGTATAATACGTATTATCACAATGTAAATTTTTCATTAATCTTTGCAATTATCATAAATTACAGTATTAAAATTACCATATAACATAGGATTAGAATATGGGTCAGGACTTATTCTAGTAAAGCTCTTTTTGTCGCTTTCTTCATTCGAATTTTCTTCTGGTAAAAAATCTTGATCGAATAAACCATAGAGAGAGCCTAAACAAACGCTTTTAGTTTAAAGTCTCTTATTAAATTTATTAAAGGTAAATTTAATTAGCAAAAGACTTTATACCATAAATTATCTCAAGATCAGTTAATATTAAAGATCTGCCCGCTTTCACACACATCTTTATCAGTAATATAGTTAGTAAAACACATTATGATATTAGTATAATGAATTTTCAATCATTACCATTATACGATTTAGAATAGCGTATGAATAATCTCCACCATCTATATCGTCAGGAAATTGCGATCCAATAATAACGACCGGTTCAATGCCTTTTTGGTGAAGCCGATGCGTTTGAAGAGTAACTATGTAATTACTATTTCCAATAAGCATAAGATTACGGGCATTTTTTTCTTCAAAATTTGCATCGATAAGTTCCTGGACAGGAATTGGAATATATTCGAATCTGTATTTATGGGATTGCATCAAAACTGGTCTAAAATATGTTTTACATAATTCATCCATGTTATCAGCTCCTCCAAAGTTTCGAGCAAGTGCTAATTGAATATTTGGCTGAAGAATAATAAAATTAATCTAGTGTCATATAATATAAGGATATATATATATATATATATATATATAACAGTAAGTTCACCTCCTCCTTGTCCTTCATGCTTCTTATGCACTTTACTAAAGAATAATAGTCTCGAAGACCTAAATAACAAATGGAGGGGTTAATATCGCAATCAAAAATATCAAATATTTTGTTGACATTGAATTCCTTACCATGAAAATTTGGATATTTTTGATTTTTTACATAATCAAGGTATGATTTTGCAAGCTTTATCAAAAAATCATCAATATTACAAATTCCTTTAATATTATTCCCAAGTAAACTTTTGGCGGTGTCAACCAGATCATTTTCTGCAAAATGGGGACGTTGAACTAATAATGCACGACTGGATTTGCTATTGTCTAATCTCCAATCGCTGATTCCAATAACAGGAACTGCCGGTTGGGAACCAAGTGGTGGCTCCAATAAAGCGTGAAGTACTTTCAATGGATTATGTGGGTTAGTATCTGCAAGACCAACTATAAAATATGTAATTTTAATTTAAAATATATAAAATTTTATAACAGATTATTAGATTAACAGTATTATCATTTTTACCTCCATCCAAAAGAACAACAGCTGTAACAGGATTTTCATTGGAATTAATTTGTTGGTAATTTAGAGCAGTTACAAAAGCTTTCATAATCCCTTCAGAAGTTGACGAACTTGAACATTGATAAGGTATCATATAGACTTGAGGCAAGGTTCGAAAGTAAGGATCATTTGAATCCGCTCCTCGAAAATTCATGCTAATAATACGCACTGCTAAAGTTTTTGAACTATTAAAAAAAAATAACAGCAAAAATAAAATATATATAAATATATACACTTTTAATATTACATTTTTAGGATTAATATTATTTACCTTCCCGGAGTGCCAATAATGAAAACTGGTATTCGTGTTTGTATGCACACGATCATTACAAGTATATTTTCCAAAAGAGCTTCATTCGTTGCAATTCCTTCGGGAAACCGCATACGCTTAAAATAATTTTCTTGTTCTTGTGAAAGGATAATTTCAAAAATATCTTTGAATTGTTCATTTCGGTTTCGAGGTTCATAAATTTTTTGATGTTTTTCTATAATGTTAATCATTTCTTTTCGGTATTCTTTACGTTGAGATTGTTCATGGAGTCTAAAAAGGTAACATAAACTAAGTGCCAATATCAATGAACGAGTTTCTAGAGGTATGTTTTCGTTATTAATTTGCACATAATTAAATTTACCACATGTATATTTAAAAAATTTGAAAAGTTTGATAGCACGTTTCACATCTCTTAGACTAACGTTAAATGGCTCTTCAACTCTACGAATAAATGCTTGTGATGCGCATAATAATTCAGTAAAAAATGGATGGTTTAATTGAGTTTTCACCATAATCTCGATGTAATTTCGTTCATCATTTGCTTTGAGATGGCCATAGTCCCAGACATAATCTAATATTTGATCAGGCATCGGATGTACTTGGTAAACCAATTTTCTTTTTTCTTCGTATAATTTTGCTGATAAGCCTATATTACTTTGCGTTTTAGTTTTCAATCGATAAGGATTGCAAGCAGCGAATAATCTGATATTTGGATGTATTTTTTTTTCATTGAGAAGTCTACGTGAAATCAAAGTTCCAAGCATTCCAATATGGTTACAAGTATTTATTTCATCAAAGAAAATCCAAGTTTCACCTTCTGCTGCAAGTGCTGTAGCATTTTCCATAAAATATAGAATATCACTCTCATGAACTCCCGCATGGAGATTTAATGCTCGAAAATTGACTTCCATCACCATTGACAAGAAACTGATTAAACTGGTCTAGATTTTTAGATTGTATAAAAATAAAAAAAATTAAAAATAAATCTCGCGTATTATGATAACTGAATACAGACTTTATGTTAATATATAATTCGAACCTTGCCACAACCAGCTTCACCACAAAGAACTACTGGAATATTTGCACGTGATCTCAATAAAATCATTACCATCTTGAAGAGATTCTCTATTGTTAACGTGTATTCAGGTAAGTATCTTAACTTGTGCATCTTTCTTCTTGTAAGTCGTTCCAGTTGTTCCAATAAAATTTCTGGTTTCATTTTGCAATAGTCTTGTAATTCGGCATTTTGACTTCTCAATAAATTTTCAATATTTTCAGGTAGTTTACTTTTTTCTTGATAAAGAGCGCATACAGAATCTGGAATTTGCATAAAAAACATAACAAAATGATTAGAGTCATCCCATTGAACTATGTTTCCAGCTCGTGCTGGATCAACTTCTTGGTTATTTTCTTTTCTAATATCTTTCTTTTGCATATCTTTAACCTTGATCGCACGTGTAGCAAATTCTTTAGAGCAAGAAACCAATATTTCAAAAAGTGTTGAACGAATATTTGTTTCTTGAGTCATTACACGTAATTGTTCAACTTTGAAAAAAGAACTGGCAGAGAACCGAATTAATTGATCTGCTAATACATTAACAAAAATTTCCAAGAATCGGTAAGAAAAGACATTATCTAATTGGTC